GCTCTATGTCCATTGTTCTCAGGCTCGAGCTTCATTGTGTTAAGGCTCTAAGCTCTCTGGTTGTAAACTCGATGTTTTAAGGCTGAGAGCTCGTCCTAAACTCATTTTTAAAGGTTATTATTTAACTTAACTGCTTTATTAGACTTTTCATCGAATGCAGGGGAATGAATTTTTATGTGTTTTAATTGCTGAAAAGTGTGCTTGCAAGCGTATGTACAAAATACACGTAGGCCTAAACATACGCAAATAACCAATAGTTGCGTGTTCTTTTTTTGTATTTGAGGATTGTAAGTACTGAAAAAAGTAATATGTGTTTGATTAATACATAAAGAGACTGATACACACTGCATTCATCGTCAGGGAGGAACTACAACCAGCTTTCCTGTGGCTCAGGTAGGTCGAACGCAGAGATTTTAGCCGAAATAAAAGAATTATTTACAGAGCATTTCGTATGCTCTGTGGAAAGGTCATGGATGATTTTGAGTAGCCTATCTGCCTGCTCTGGTTGAACTTTTGTTGATATATGTACTTATATACATACATATACGCATATACATATTATAGATTTGTATTATATATATCATATAGATATATACATTCATATATATATATACATATACATAGATATATGTATATATATATATATATATATATATATATATATATATATATATATATGTGTGTGTGTGTGTGTGTGTGTGTGTGTGTGTGTGTGTGTACATATATATGTATGTGTGTATATCTATCTATCTATCTATCTATATATATATATATATATATATATATATATATATACATATATACATACATACATATATATATACATATATATATATATATATATATATATATATATATATATTTATATATATATATACACACACACACACATACACACACACACACACACACACACACACAGCCACACACACACACACACACACACACACACACACACACACACACACACACACACAGACACACACACACACACACACACATATATATATATATATATATATATATATATATATATATATATATATATATATATATATATGTATGTATCCACCCATGCATCCCCAGGGTGCGAGTGGGCAGCCGTGCACTCTGTGTCCATCGAGGCGCGCGAGGGCGTGACCCGAGCCTTCTGGCGTCCCGCTGGCTCCTCCTCCCTGGCCTTCGTCCGCCTCCCCCACTGGAGGGCCCCGGAGGTCATTAGAGCCAACGCGACATCCAAGCGTGACCTTCATCCCAGCGACCCCTGCCACGAAGTCATCGTCCGCGCCAGCATACGAGATGACTCTGCCGGACGACTCACGACGACCTACACGCTGGAGATCCCGTCCCTCGGCGCGAGGTGGACGTCCTCCTCCTCAGGACGCGATGCTGGGACGACGCGAGGCGACCCACGCGACCCTCCGGTGGTCACCTTCCTGATGACCGACGAAAGTTATTGGGGCGACGACTGTGCCTGGGACACGTGCAGTAGGTTCTATGTATATATATATATACATGCATACACACACATACATACACACACACACACACATATATGCATATATATGTATATATATATATATATATATATATATATATATATATATATATATATATATATATGTATGTGTGTGTGTGTGTGTGTGTGTGTGTGTGTGTGTGTGTATGTGTGTGTATGTTTGTGTGTGTGTGTGTACGTGTGTGTATCGATATTGGTTACTATCGACATATAATTAAACCTCAAATTACAACGGGTCACTTAATGACTCGAAACACTACCTTAAACTTCAAATAATCACTTACTGTCATATCCTAAATGCCCAATATATCTGATATACGAAAGGGAAATGTTGGCTCTTAGTGACAGCAGGTGAATATCTTATATATTTGATTGGCTACACGTAAAAAAAAAAAAAATGTGTAACGATTAAACAAAGCTAGAATTGAAGCTGCGTAAAAAATTAAGCTTACCCCAAGTACTCTGGAAACTAATTAAAATTACCCTCTGTCACTTTTAATAAGGAAATGGGATTTGAAAATAACTATTATATATTTATATGTATACATGAAGATGTGTGTGTGTGTATGTGTGTGTGTGTGTATTCATATATACATATATGTATATTCATATATAAATGTATGTATGTATTCATATATATATATATATATATATATATATATATATATATATATATATATATATATATACACACACACACACACACACACACACCATATTTAGCTGAACATGAAAGTGTACGTTCATGGCACTCCACGGGACCGTATCTTGTTTTCCGAAATGCCTTGAACTCTTGATCATTTCGTCTCGACCGCCATGTCCAGCGTCGCCCCCCCCCCCTCTGCAGGCAAGCGTCGAAAACTGTGCGTCTTACAAATACACGTCCACTCTGCAGTAAAGTTTATTAGGATAATTTGTTTGCGCCTCTCAAGCTCCTTGGAAGAGAAAACATCCTTTATGGATTCGGAATAAGATGGGCGTAAGTCCCTGAACCTAACCTAACCTACGTTACGTTACTTTAGGTTAGGTTACGTTGCGTTACTTTAGGATAGGTTAGGTTATGTTACGTAACCTAACCTAAGCTAACCTACGTTACGTTACTTTAGATTAGGTTAGGTTACGTAACCTAACCTAACCTAACCTAAATTAACGTAACTTAACCTAACCTAAAATAAAGTAACGTAACGTAACCTAAAGTACGTAATGTAACCTAACCTAACCTAAAGTAACGTAACTTAACCTAACCTAGAATAAAGTAACGTAACTTAACCTAACCTAACCTAACCTAACCTAAAGTAACGTAACCTAACCTAACCTAACCTATAGTAACCTAACCTAGCCTATAGTAACCTAACCTAACCTAACCTAAAGTAACGTAACGTAACGTAACCTAACCTAAAGTAACATAACGTAACCTAACCTATAGTAACCTAACCTAACGTGACCTAACCTAAAGTAACCTCACCTAAACTAACCTAACCTAAAGTAACGTAACCTAACCTAACCTAAAGTAACGTAACATAACCAAACCTAACCTAAAGTAACGTAACGTAACCTAATCTAACGTTAGGTTAACGTAACGTAACGTAACTTAACCTAAAAGTAATATAACGTAACGTAACCTAACCTAACGTTATGTTACGTTACTTTAGGTTAGGTTACGTTACGCAACGTAACCTAACCCAACCTAACCTAACCTATAACCTGTCCCACTATTACCGTGTTTATTGGGGATCCTTTGATAGGCTTGCACACAGGCGAGCTATGGGGTAAGTCACTGTAGAATCCATTGTAGAGCGACGGTCACACTAGTTCAGTCCTTGCCAGTGAGATTTGCGAAGATTTGCAAGCATCGTCCGGGTCTTTAAAAATGTATAAAGTATTTTTTATTAATTATATATCTCGGTAACATGATTGATAAGGCATGAGAAAAAAGTTATTATGAATTGATGACAAAGGGTAGGATTTTAAATGATGCAATTATTCCACAAATGAAAGTAAAATTTGATTAATAGTCATAAATTGTGCAATCGTGTCAGCAACACCGATACCCCATAATTCAACAGAATCGAAAGTCCGGCAATAAATTTTCCAATAACGCATGCCGCTATTAATATAACCAGTGATATATGAGAAATGTAATTACAAATTCATTAAAGCTGTAAAATTGAAAGGAAGCAAATACTATAACTCAAACTGAAAAGGTTAATATTTTAAAAAATGAACCTTTTCTATTTGCACGCGCTGAAAACTGGGGAGTCATCCAGCAACATGCAATTAATTAGGGAAGGAGAGTATGAGGAACGCAATAAAAGAGGAATTAGGGGGAAGACAAAGAAAAAAATGGTTTTATAAGAAGCTAACTCTTGATGTCAAAAGTGTAGCTATTTGTGTAGTAGTAGGAAAAGCATACCTGTAGTGGTATAGCTGTGGTGGTAACGAAATACACGACTTATGTGTATGTGTGTGTGTGTGTGTGTGTGTGTGTGTGTGTGTGTGTGTATGTGTGTAGACCCAGCATATTAGTTCATGCCATCTGTAATTGCCCAATGCTCCTAACTACTGCATTTTAATTATCTGAGTCATTGTTTTGATAGGTCTCTGGATCCAATTTATACGAAAGGTGCCAATAACACTAACAAGGGTATTCTGACGTTTACGGCAATTACGTCCTGACAAGCCAATTTACTATCAAAACAATAAGAAATTCAACTTGTATTGAATTTGATTATGTAGCATTCATTGATTTCAAAATGAAGGTATTGTCATGGACTGCAGAATGCCTCATGGACAATTATATTGATTACTGAGTTTTTAGCTTATAATTCACAATGTAACTGATGTAATATAGTCGATAACACACAAGATTTTTTTTTACTAAGTGTTTCGAACGTGTAGCATAACGTTTGTGATTGGTTAAAAAAATTATATTTCTTTTACTATGATACATTAATAACTGGAAACGAATATGTTTTTTTTTCAGCATTTAGATACCTCTAATATACCAAAGTTCTATAGAATTGATTTATTTCCATCCCTTTTTTTCCTCTTTTCTTAAATATACATATACGTCATCCACAAAGTCATTTCATGTATCTCTGTAAATCTCAATGAATACTTTTTTCAATGTCTCATTAGATTCCCGACTCAGCAACGCGGGTGGAGGAATAAGTTGGTGCAAATGGTTGCTCGTTGCAGATTTGGTTGCCATTGCAGCCGTGTTGCTAATGGCGTCTTTCGTGTTGCTTGTTTTGGTGAGTTTTTATTATTGCTCATTTGTTGTTCTGATTGTCAGTGTTGGTGATTTGACTTGCGTTTCTTGGTTTGCCTGTCTGTCTATAATACATGGATACACACACACACACACACACACACACACACACACACACACACACACACACACACACACACACACACACACACACACACACACACACACACCTATATAACACACACTAAAACGAATGCAAATACCGTGTGAAAGATTCATTCACAACTGCTTAATAACGCCAACTAACGCTCCGTGTCCTTCCAGCTGCGTCGCCCAAAGGGATCTCGCGCCTCGGGCTTCAAGTCTTTTCCTCCGTCGGTCCTTCTGGCGGAAACTTGACGGAAGACACTGGAGGACCTTCTGGCTTGGCTTTCGTCGCGATCGGCGTTTCGTTGAAAAAGGAATATTTGAAGGCTAAAGATTATTCGTATACTTGGATATCGAAATGTCTGTTTATCTGTTTAAAGTCATTTTGTACATATTTTCATGCATGCGTACATATATACATACACACACACACACACAAACAATAAGCAAACACACACACACGCAACTATATACTTACACATACGGTATACATAGCTCGGACAAGAGTGAGATAAAAAAAAAGTTTAAAATATAAAAAAGAAATATAAAAAAAAAGAAAAAAAAACAAGAATCATTTACAAATTCTCTTATGAGTGAAAGTCGAAAACTTCTTCCTTAAAACAATTTAAAGTTATCCAAAAAAGGAGACAAACTTCACTCGTGACATTCAGGTTGGGTCAGATCACGAACTTAACTTTGTCATTAAGTTCAAACGATCACAAAGAATAGTTCTAGAAATCAGTCGAGAAATTCAGGTGAATTGGTTTTCAGGAGAGAGAGAGAGAGAGAGAGAGAGAGAGAGAGAGAGAGAGAGAGAGAGAGAGAGAGAGAGAGAGAGAAAGAGAGAGAGAGAGAGAGAAAGGGAGAGAGAAAGAGAGAGAGGGAGAGAGAGACAGAGGGGGGGGAGAGGGAAAGGAAGAGGAAGAGGGAGGGAAGGAGTGAGTGAGAGAGATGGAGAGATATAGAAAGAAAAGAAAGAGAGATGGAGAAATACAGACAGAAAAAACAGAGAGAGAGATGAAAAGGAGACAGATACAAATAAACTCACAAAAACAAACACAAACAAACAAACACACATACAAACAAAAACAAACGCACACAAAAACAGATAAATCCATATTTTCCCCGCCGACCGCGACTTACGCACGTAACCCCCATACATAATACACTACCCACCTCCTTCCCTACCCCCTACTCCCCCTCCCCTCCCCCTCTACCCCCTCCCCTTCCTACCTCCAATGACATTCATACTTATGCAGACCTCGCTATATTGTCAGCGGGTTTGACACTCCTAATGCGTGACTTTTGTCTTTAATTATTAAAAGGATTTATTGATTGCTATGCATCTCATCTCTTCGGGGATAGTGAATATCTGAGACATGGAATGTAAATGCGCGGGTGACATTATAGGCGGAGTCTTGGGTGGGGGGGGGGGGGGGGGAAGCAAGGTGAATGATTATCTTTTTTTTTGGGGGGGGGTAGGTGAGGTGTGGGGAGAGTGTTTCTTTGTATTTATATTTCTCTGATTGTTCATTGATTCGTTCATTTACCTTTTTTTCCATTGTTTTGTTGATTTTTTTATGATTATTATATACTTTTTGTCATTATCTTATCCCTTTATTTATTAGTCTCTCTATCTCTCTCTTTCTGTGTGTGTGTGTCTTTCTCTGTCTGTCTGCCCGCCCCCCTCTCTCTCTCTCTCTCTCTTTCTCTTCTCTTTTCTTCTCTCTCTCTCTCTTTCTCTTCTCTTTTCTTCTCTCTCTCTCTCTCCCTTTCTCTCTCTCTCTCTCTCTCTCTCTCCCTCCCTCCCTCCCTCCCTCCCTCCCTCCCTCTCTCTCTCTCTCTCTCTCTCCCTCCCTCTTTTCTCTCTCTCTCTCTCCCCCCCCCCCTCTCTCTCTCTCTCTCTCTCTCTCTCCCAAGCCCATCATTTCAGCTTTTGCTAGGGGGGGGGGTGAGAGAAGGTGAATAAAACTCAATAAGATTATAAACAAAATACTATTGGATTGAGGATAAGTCTATATTTACTAAATATTATGGCGTATTTTTAATTTCTCTTTTTTTCTGGTATTCACGGATAATGTATAAAAAATTTACTCATATTTTACTTTTATAGTTCTATTATCACGAGTTGCAGTACAGTTTTATGAAGAAAGAGTGAGTAGCATGTTGCTGGTGATACTGATGTGATCACAATACGTGTTTAGAAGCAAGTATCTGTTCTTGAGCCTTTTAGTTGAGAGGTAAATCTAGTATCATTCTTTATATATATGCAGTTTTAAGATATAGAAAGATTGATGATAACCAGGGACGTCAATTGTGGGGGGGGGGGGGGGAGGAGGGTAGTTGCTGTACCGGTTTATTCTGCTTTGGATGTGTTTGTAATCTAAGTCAATTAGCTCTAAAAAGTTGTTGGGAAACCTTGAAGGGGGGTCCTCTCTCTCTCTCTCTCTCTCTCTCACTCACTCATTCTTTCTCACTCTCTCTCTCTCTCTTTCATTCTCTCTCTCTCTCTCTCTCTCTCTCTCTCTCACACACACACACTCTCTCTCTTTCATTCTCTCTCTCCCTCTCTTTCTCTCTCTCTCTCTCTCTCTCTCTCTCTCTCTCTCTCTCTCTCTCTCTC